ACGGAGCTCCAGCTATGATTGGAATGCAGAATGGCATGGTGAGTCTACTGAGAAACCATTTGGATGATTGAGGATTGCTTGGGTATCATTGAAAGTACACCAAGAACAGCTGTATGCAAAAGAACCAGGATTTGACTGTCTGATGAAAGTAGTGAGCAATACAATCATTTTTATTCACTCACAAACCGCAGGCAATTTAAGGAAATCCTAGAACACACAGATGCACTACATAGTGACAGTGGCGTAGCTAGGGAGGGGCAAAGGGGGACATTTGTCCCTGGGAGAAAGAAAAATGTTTTACAGTCAAAAGTCATTAATTCGGACACCCATAATCCGGAATGTTCTATAATCCGGACATCAAAGCTACAAACTTTCTGCGCATGCGTCGCGTTGAGGCATGCGCGCAAGACCTTTACGCCTGTGAATTTGCGTGTGCGCATGCGCAAAATACGTTTACGAATGCACGTTTAATGTATAACGGACGGGATAAGCTAAGCTAAAATTATCTAATTATCTATTTCAGTTAATGTTGCAGATTGCGTTGTTCCTTAATCTTCGAATTGGATCCGGCTTATTTTTTGAGTTGTCTGTTAGAGCAATTTTTTATAAAAGTAAGCTTGAACTTTCGATTATTTCAAATAGAATTTCCGATATATATTTACTAATATGTAAAGGATATACAAAGCGAAAGTATCTTTCGGAGTCCATTAAACAAAAAGTGGAATTGATGCAAAAAATGGATAAAGGCTTATCCTTTGTTTATGTAAACTGTAACGTTTGTTTATCTAAACTTTGTTTATCTTTAACACTCTGGGACACAATGAATTGGAAGTTGATCTGTCAACACTATCCTTATTTATCTTAAGGGCAGATGTTTTTATTTTATTTGGCTTATAATTGCTTACTAAATGTGGTATTTCCTCTGGATGTACTCGGTCTTTGATATGATTTAAATCAAATGCCTGGTCATTATAATTCGCTTGGGATAGGGAAGAAAGTGACAGAGGTTATTGAAAACAAAAAAATTTCAATTGACAAATTAGTCCGTATTCTTGACACAGCAATTATAGGACTTGAACAGCGGAACTTTGTAACTGAACAAGAAATTATGTCTGTTTATGGAATTAAAGAGAATGTATTATCACATAAAAAAACGAAGCAACTTAAACAACTTACATTGAAAGAAATGTTTAATAAAGTAAACAAATATTAAGCTTTTTTTTTGTGTAAATTTTGATACCCTTTAGATCATAATTGTTCTTTATTTCATAAATTACGATTTCATATTTTAAATTTTATAATTTCTGCATGCCATTTTACCAGATTTAAACTGATGATCTATAATCCGGAAAAATCGATAATCCGGAATCGCCAAAGTCCCGACGAGTCCGGATTAACGACTTTTAACTGTATATGTTTTGAAAAAGTGAACTACTGTATTTGATGGCATATAAGACGCTCTTTTTTTCCTAAATTTGGTTTCAAAAAAGTTACCTGTGTCTTATACGTGAAGGTAATTGCATTCAATAATTGTTTATTTGGCTTTTACGAAACGTGAGAACTAAAACCACGCTATTGAAACTTTTTTCCCTTGTGTGTGGCCGTCTAAATAAGGGTGCGTCTCTTATGCCGTCAAATACGGTATTTATAGATGGAATACTTTGATTTTTGAAAAGCAGAATATTACAATTCTTTTTTCCTAATTGCTTTATAAATTTTAATGAGAGATTATGTAAAATGTCCAGGCCCCCGTCAGTGGGCGAGTGATTGCATGGAGCTCCCAGTAGCACATGCAAGGAGAAACCCCCTCTCTTCTTGCTTGAATACATATGTAATGGTCTCCAAATCAGTTTAAATTTGATATGGTAAAAATCTGGTTTGGAAATTAAGCAACTTATTGCATTGATTCCCCTCTCACTCAAAAGTGCATTCAACTTACCTACAGAAGAGAACAGCAATTTTGCTTCTTCGAAACAGGTCTGCTGCCCTAGCTGTAGGGATTTGTCTTTTCAGGGTTGAGAATTTGAAAAATGAGCTGTCACTGGGAATTGATTTGCAGATCTTTCAGTAGCATCACAAAGGCATGCACTGGAAAAAGGCTTATTTCCTTATATGTGTGCTTCAAGGATAATTTGGGAGAAATACAAGAACCATTTGGTCACATTTTAGATGATGATCTTCATTTATTATCAGTTTCATTCTTATTTTTGCTGCCATTTGTTTTGTTTCGTTCTAGACTTGAAATTCTTTTTTTTTTTTTTTATTAAAATAAATTTTAAAAAATTTTCCCATTTTATTTGAGTCCAGACGTGCCAGCACTGTATTCATAATCTCAAATATTTTATTCTTTTATTTATATGTAATTCCTGCTTAACTAGCTCAATGCAAAGGTTGCAGTATTGTATAAACTGGTGAAAGAGAAAGAAAAATGTTTTACATGTTTTGAAAAAGTCAACTATTTATAGATGGAATACTTTGATTTTTGAAAAGCAGAATATTACAATTTTTTTTTTTCTAATTGCTTTATAAATTTTAATGAGAGATTATGTAAAATGTCCAGGGCCCCGTCAGTGGGCGAGTGATTAAGACTGCTGAATGTTGGGAGTTCTACTTAAATTTATCCCTAGACCCTATTAAACAGGCAGATTGCATGGTTGGTTTTCATACTTTGCCCCTGTGTAGCTTGAATACAAGTCAGTTAGAAAGTACACCATGAAGGCATCCCTTCCCTTAGGCCAATAGCCCTTGTGTGCTGCACGATAATTAAATAACCTACCTGTGACTTTTCTGTAACTAAAGGTATTATTTTTGTCATTTTGTTCTCATTTGTACAGAGTTAATTAATCAAAGTTTCTTTACTTTCATAAGGTTTAGTATGTTTTCAATGTAAAAGACCCTTTTATGTAAAACTAAAAAGAACAGAAGGCACACACGGTGCGTACAAGTCACACAACCACTTATAGTGATGTAAGTTAGAGTAACAGTGTCAAACATAAAATTTTAATTAAATAAGAGCCTAAAGCTACACATATCAGTTTAATGCAAAGTTAGCTTACTTATCTGACCAGTGTGCAGATTCAATATTGGCAACTCTAATGCAAGGCTGAAGACTATGAATCTTATCTGATTTAGCAATCTAGTATCATGGTCTCAAGAGGCATGGCCTATCCTACAATCTAAAATCCTCACTATAAATATCTGCATTCAGGCAAAAAAACAAAGGGAGAAGTAACAATAAAGATCCAAAACATATAACAATTGATTAATTAACATAAAAGAACCTTACATTTTTTTAAAATTACATTAGACTTATCACAAGCAAATCTAGATATCTTTCAAGCTTGAAGATATGTTAGAAATGTCTCTCAGCATATATTTATCCCTTTATATGAATTCTTAAACCAGCCTTTTTATGTGGTATATCTATGAATTCTGTGGGATGACAACAATGGAACCGTCTGTTTGAAAAACAAGCATTCTTAACTTCCGGCGGCAGTGCTATTTTATTTGCCTTCTGCATTAGCATAGGTTCATTCATTAGATCATGGCAGCTTTAAATGGATTAAAATCCAAAAAGAAAAAGAGTAGTATTTGAAATATTTAAATTTCGTTTTTCTTCTGTGCTATGTCTTACTATTTATTTACTTTCTATTTTTTTTTTTTTTTTTTTTTTTTTTTAAATTTACTTGATTTTGATTTTTTAAATTTATTATTAATTTACTCATTTTATTATTATTTTAAATGAATTTTATTTATACATATATGTTATTAACTGCGCATTATTTATTGTTTCATTTTTGTTGAATTTTAACAAACTCCTATAGGACTCTAGCTATTCTAATGTTAAAAATTGAACTTCATGCATAGTTTAAAAGTGAAAAAATTCCTCAACATTTCTTGTTATTCAACAAGGCATTGAAGATCGTTGAGCGCTTCCGAAAGTTCGATTATATCTTGTATAACCAGGAATATATATAACTGTTATATAAATTGTATGTACACAGCAAAATGGGAAAGTGCTGCCCAATTGCTTAAATTTATATATTTTTGTCATGTGTATATATATTTTTTGTGCGTACATTATATATTAAATGCTTTATTTCTGAGGTTTTCCAGCTTATAGATATATAAACTTGTGAATTTTTCGAGTTATCCATCGCGAATATTCGTTCCAAATAACAAACGTGTCTTCTGATCTGTCTCTGTAAGTGTCTTCTGTTATTCTGAAGTGATGCTTGGCGTTTCGCCAAACTCGGCAGGGGAGAGTAAAAATTCGTTAGAAATTTTTTTCGTTAATTGTTTAGAAAACTTTATCTTCCGAATCGCATCCAACCGAAACTTACTGTTGACGCTTTCATTGATTCATTTTTTATTATCGTCTGAATTAACGAAAGGACGCGTTTGCTTTTCTGTGAGTTTGCCGGACAAACTTCACTCTAAGCAAGCTGGTAGGTTTTACTGTGAAAAAGCTGTTACTCTAGATTATTGTTAAATTAACTTTGACTTAAGGAAACTAATAAATTACATGCTTACATACCATTTTATTCTGCTGTAGAAAAATTTAGGTATTTAATCAGTTTCTTCATACATTTTACGTCCATTAATTTAGAAGTAATATATAATAAATTATGTGAGTAAATATATAACAAGATTCAATTAATTTTCTTGATTATAACTAATTTTCACTTTATATTGACATTTCTCTTATTTGAAAGTATTTTGGGTTTAAACTTAATATATGTACACATATAAAGATTTCCTATTAATTTTTTTACATTTTTTTTTTCATAATTTCTGAAGTTTTAAAATAAATTTAATCCTTGTATCTATTTTATTTTTTTGCATGCAATAAAGGATGAAATTTTAAGGTAAGTAAAAAATTATAAGTAGTGGATAATGCATGTAAATGTTAAGTGATGTATGTTTTATATGTTGTCATACCTTACTATTAAGAGAACTGTATTCCCTTTGTATGCTGACAATTCAATTATTCCTTTTAGGAATGTCAGTAAAGACAACAAAGAAGTGATATCCCCTGGAGCTGATTCATGTAATTGTAGTACACAAATTGACACATTGCTTGAATCATCATTAAAAGAACTTGCATTGAAATCAGCAAAGAAAACATATTCAATTTTAAAAGAAAGCCTGTACAGTAGTTTTGAAGTATGCTTTCATGAATTATTTATTGTTTTAAAGTAATATTTATAATAATATTTATTATCAGTATAATGTTTACAACAGTATAATCAATGTCAAAAATTATTGTTTCATTTTATTTCAAATTTCATTTTAGTTGATTGAAATTCACTTGCATCAGTCATTTTCAGCTCTCTGAAAATAATCCTTATATATGGATATATGGAGGAAATTAATAGGGTGTATAAAAGTTATGCTAATAGTTCAGTTTGTAATGCAACTTAAGATGAACTGATATTTTCTTCTGAGGCTGCCTATTTATTATTTTAACTTTCTTTTACGTTGCATTGATTTTGCAGTATTTAATATAGAATTAGTCATCATATGCATTTTTAAAAATTCAGTATTCAGTTTATATAGCATCTTGGAACTTAATATTTTATATTATTTTATATTTTTAAAGGTAACAGGGTAGCTACAAATCGTTAAAAAATGTAATTTAATAATTATAAATATTGATCATATTATTATGTTTGTGTAAAAAATACATATAGTAGATTGTTTGAATTAATCAAGTGTGCTCTAATATTGCTCTTTTAACAGCAGGAACTTTGTAAGGTAAGTAAGTTCTAATTTTTAGCTGCTCATCTTTACAAACAAAGATTTCTTGCACATGCATCCTTTGTGTGTAAATGTTTGTGTTAAAGCATGTTGTGAGTCTATGCAGTTGCTATTCTCTTTATTCTCTTACCCAGCTTACTGCTGATCTGATATCCTTATGTGTTATGTTAAATTTTCCTTTATAACATGATTTCAGAATGGAGTTTTAATTTTCAGAGTGGTAAAAGTCTTTTTTGTTCATTTTGTATTTAGTTGCAGTTTCTCTCTTAGAGCAGTCACAGAGCACTTGTTTTTAACTTTATCCTGTTTTCTGTCAGGGGTTAAGCTTTTGTGTTTCCTATTTGGAACAGTATTTTGCAGCATATGAACTCAAAGACAAATGTACTTATATTTTCAAAATAATAATACTAATAAAATCTGAAAGCTTTCAGAACTAATAAAATCTGAAAGCTTTCAGATTTTATGATTATCGGGATCAATGGAATTCCTTATTGAAAAAACTTTATTTAAATCATCTTTATTACCATCAAACAGGATAAAAGCGTCATCTCTGTAGTGGAACCATACCGAGAAGCTTAAAGTTTCAAATATTTTGATTCATAATGCATGTAGATCTCAGCAAGGCTGGGACTAAGAGGGCTTCCCATGGCTAATCCCTCAGTTTGCATGTAATACTTATTTTGGGAAATCTGTTTGTTTCAAACAGAGTTAAGTAAGGGAAATTAGCTCATTAATTTTGATGCAGGAAAAGCCGCCGTCGGTATAGTGGTTATGGTTTCGAATCCCAGAGAAGGCATGGTTGTAACTGTCTGTCCCTTCATAGGAGGCAATGGTGGCTCACCTATTAGGTGCCTCCATAATAAAGAGATCACCACATCTGGCTTTGTATAGATTAATGGACTGTGTTACACTGTAACAATTCACAATCTGCCATTGGGGGGGGAGAATTTTTTTTTCATGCAGGAAAGATGAAATTCATGAAGTCTCGTTTATAGACATCTTAATGCACCTTCCACTGGAGCATAGGTGAATAATGATTATACTTCAAAAGAGAGACCATGAGTAAATTTCAAGGAGAAATGCTTTTAACTTTTTTATTAACTCTGTTGAATTTTTTTATGTTGTAAATGTTATTATCTAATAAAGTTGAAAATCTAGAAACTAGATATTTAGCTAATATTTAGTTAGGCACAAGACAGTGCCTAAATTTGATGCAGTAAAGCAGAAATTAATAGAGTGCAAAGTCCATTATCCGGAATGATCTATAATCCGGACCTCAAAGCCACATACTTTACGCATGCGTGTAGAGAATGCGCATATGTTATGCATGCAATCAAAAAATGTGCATACATTAGGCATGCATGCATTGAAAGAAATGTTTAATAAAGTACACAAATAAATATTAAGCTTTTTTTTTTTTTTTTTTTTTTTTGTAAAATTTGATACCCTTTAGATCATAATTGCTCTTTATTTCATAAATTACAGTTTCGTATTTTTAACTGTATAATTTCTGCATGCCATCTTACCATATTTAAATTAATGATCTATAATCCGGAATCGCCGAAGTCCCAACGAGTCCGAATTACAGACTTTGTACTGTACCATTTTTATGAATTTTGGGACGAATGTATAATCTGGCACCATTCGCAACAGATGGGATAAGCAATTGTTATAATTGGGTCGGAAGGCTTTGTGAGGATTTGATCACAGTTTTTATTTTTGAGAGATCCGAACGTGAAGGGTCTTTAGGGATCATATTATCTGGTCCTTCATTTAAGAGATTAGTGACACTATTGATGTAAGTGTTCTTGTCCATGATGACTACCTGGTCATCTTTGTCATCCTTTGAAACAATAATGTCTAAGTTAGAATGAATTTCGCGCATTGTAGGCATCTTACTGTCGCATTTAGATTCTTCTTTGTTTGGCAGCTACCAAACAAAGAAGTTCCTTTGTTAAAATGTTGCATGAAAAGTGTATCAGTTCTTTTTTTGAAATTGTAAATGAAAAACTTGTTGGTGTCCAAATCTTATATGAAAATACATATCTGGTTCAAAATATAATGTTGAAATATTTTTGGCAAAAGGTCACAATATTTTTAACAGTTTGAAGCATAAAGTTACTTGTTTTTACATATTGTACATATTTTGTGTTGTACATATTTTGGCTGCTGTCCCATTAATGAAAGAATACTATAATCCCAGCCGTGGCAGTTTTGCTCATTTTAAAATGGCAGTGGGTTAATGAATCTTCAGCCTTGTTAATTTATATCTGATTTATTTATTTATTATTATTTTATTATTATTATTATTATTTTTTTTATGTTTTTTTTTTGCTTCTACTAAAAATGATAACCTGGTGGGGGTGCTTCCTTTTTAAAGTGTACCATGATTATTCACCAAAGTTGCCTGACTAAGTAATTAAATTTGAAGCATGCCCGACTAAATAATTAAATTTGAAACTTCTAAGTATCACTGAAGTTGTATGAGATGGTCACTGTAATTAAGAAATTAACCTTATGGTTATGAAATTTTATTTCATGCTGAGTATAAACCGTAGGAAGTTTAAAAAAGATAAATATTTTATCAAAAAATATCAGCATAGTATAATCCTCCTTATTAGCTATACAAGGATATTAATAGTACTTATATATGTCAACTATAATAGTACATTCTACATAATCTTATTTAATTTTATTTTGCAGTTGTCAGAAACCAAATACAAGGATATTAATAGTACTTATATATGTCAACTATAATAGTACATTCTACATAATCTTATTTAATTTTATTTTGCAGTTGTCAGAAACCAAAAATTGTAAAGTCTTTGAAACAAATGTGCTGAATTCATTATGTGCTAAAGAATTTAATTTTAATCAGCTTTCTTCTAATAATTCATTATTGTCTAATGAACATCTTATGAACTGTGAAGAATGGAGCGATTACTCAAGTGGTGTCGAAAGTGATTTCAGGTAAATAATATCCAACGTGAAGTGCTTAAACTGTTTAAAAATGCATTATGTATTTATTGTTATTATGTTCCCCCTCCTCAGTGTGCTATTCTTGCTTTTCTTAAAAGTGGCTTCTTCTTTTCAGTAAAAATTCAATATATGCTGCATCAGAAATGTCTCGAAATAGGAGGTTTAATCGAAGTGCAGTTACTTCAAGTAGAACATTATCAGAATCGGAAACAGAGGATGAAACTATATATTTTAATGGTAAACATTCCTTTGTATCAAATATTTTGTATATCAAATGTGATTTTGCATACAGGCTTATTTAGGTTGGCTTTTATTTGTTTATTTAAATCAAATCTTGAAGCCAGTTTTCAATTTACTTCTTGCATTTATACATAATTAATAAAAATAGCACTATATCTCATAGCATTTTCCTCAGAATTTGATGTATATTTGTTTTAATTTAACTTTGAATTATTTATGAATTTTTATGCAGTTTCGTATTTAGCAATCAAACTAGTCATTCTAGAATTTTGATCTTTGTACCATCAGACAGGGTAAAAAATTATCTTGCGGGTGAAGCTTTTTCAGATTAAGTTTTCCAAATTGATGGGCTGCTAACATTGATTGATATTTAAATCAAAATTATCAAAGAAAAATTTATATAGTTTAAATGTACTCAAACTGTTAGTACATCAGGATATCTTAAAGGAAAGGTGATATAATTTTTTGTGCACTTATTCTCATGTGATTTTCATTCTCTTAACTTCATTTTTATGCCTCTTCTAAGAACTGAAAAGTAGAAAATATAATAAAAATAAAACATGGAGGAGTTAGGTAAAGCTTGCATTGAGACTTAAGAGAATTTTTAAGAATAATAAAAGTGATATTTTAGAGAAGATATACAGGTATAAGAAGGATTACATTCAATTCACTCAAAAATTTGATCACTTCACTCTTTGAAAATTTTGATTTAAAATAGCATCATTTGCAGTCTCGCAATTTTAATTTTCAGTTATGTCTGAACAGGAATTTGTGATAGCTAAAAATAATTTTTTATTAAGTACATTACGTTAAAACTCTCTAGTTATAAGAAATTATATATTTTAATTACTCGGTAGAATTTTAGTAGTCCACACACCTCAGAACCATGGGTTATATGCATATCGGTGAATTTTGTGGATTGTAAATCATGTCTTTCTTAATTTTATGTAATTTTCCTCTTTCTATTTTTACATTAAAATTTTATTATTTGTGCATAAATAAATAATCAAATCATACTTTATGAATTATACTTTTTTTAAATATACAAAGAAAATATCAGTATTTAGGGAAAATACTATTCGGAGAAAAAGGGACATATGATAGGAAATTCTTTTTTAAGAAAGTACATAACTCTTCTATAAAAAATGTATCAAAATATATTATGCAAAAAAATTTTATACCCACCAGAAAAACTGCATTTATATAACATTTACAATCTTAAAATAAAAAGAAAAAAATATTTAAACAACTAAATACACTGTTTACAAAAATCTCAACTACAGTCAAAAGTCGTTAATTCGGACACCCATAATCTGGAATGATCTATAATTCGGACCTCAAAGCTACAAACTTTCTGCGCATGCGTCACATTGACGCATGCGCGTAAGACCTTTACCGCTGCGAATTTGCATGTGCGCGTGCGCAAAATACATGTTTATGAATGCGCGTTTAATGTATAACGGACGGGATAAGCTAAGCTAAAATTATCTAATTATCTATTTCAGTTAATGTTGCAGATTGCGTTGTTCCTTAATCTTCGAATTGGATCCAGATTATTATATTTTTTGCAGACTGTTAGAGCAATTTTATAAAAGTAAGCTTGAACTTTCGATTATGTCTAATAGAATTCCCGATATATATTTACTAATATGTAAAGGATATACAAAGCGAAAGTATCTTTCGGAGTCCATTAAACAAAAAATGGAATTGCTGCAAAAAATGGATAAAGGCATATTCTTTGTTTATCTAAACTTAAACGTTTATTTATCTAAATTTTGTTTATCTTTAACGCTGCAGCAGCCTGCAATGAATTGGAAGTTGATTTATCAGCACTATCCTTATCTTAAGGGCAGATGTTTTTATTTTATTTGGCTTATAATTGCTTACTCAATGTAGTATTTCATCTCAATGTACTCCGTCTTTGATATGATTTAAATCAAATGCCTCGTCATTATAATTCACTTCCGATAGCGAAGAAAGTGACATAGGTTATTGAAAACGAAAAAATTTCGATTGAGAAATTAGTCGGTATTCTCGATACAGCAGTTATAGGACTTGAACAGCGGAACTTTGTAACTGAACAAGAAATTATGTCTGTTTATAGAATTAAAGAGAATGTATTATCACATAAAAAACGAAGCAACTGAAACAACTTACATGGAAAGAAATGTTTAATAAAGTAAACCAATAAATATTAAGCTTTTCTTTTGTCAATTTTGATACCCTTTAGATCATAATTGTTCTTTATTTCATAAATTACGGTTTTATATTTTTACTTTTATAATTTCTGCATGCCATTTTACCAGATTTAAACTGATGATCTATAATCCGGAATCGCCAAAGTCCCGACGAGTCCGGATTAACGACTTTTGACTGTATATGATTTTCCCTAACTTGAGCTTCTGTGCTATATCCAACATTATGTTCTCTGCATATGCTGTTGATTAATACCTCCACTAGCAAGTAATAATAATACCATCATAAAAATCCAGAATTTTGGTTCTAGCATCAAGTAGTGTTAGAATTTAAATTTTGGATTTATTCAAAGAAAATTTCTTTTCTTTAGACCTCTGTATTCAAACTTGACGAAAGTGCGACCTCATAAAATGCAAACAACCCCCCCAAAATCAACTTAGCGTTGTTTCAGTTGCTTCGTTTTTTATGTGATAATACATTCTCTTTAATTCTATAAACAGACATAATTTCTTGTTCAGTTACAAAGTTCCGCTGTTCAAGTCCTATAATTGCTGTATCGAGAATACCGACTAATTTCTCAATCGAAATTTTTTCGTTTTCAATAACCTATGTCACTTTCTTCGCTATCGGAAGTGAATTATAATGACGAGGCATTTGATTTAAATCATATCAAAGACGGAGTACATTGAGATGAAATACTACATTGAGTAAGCAATTATAAGCCAAATAAAATAAAAACATCTGCCCTTAAGATAAGGATAGTGCTGATAAATCAACTTCCAATTCATTGCAGGCTGCTGCAGCGTTAAAGATAAACAAAATTTAGATAAATAAACGTTTAAGTTTAGATAAACAAAGAATATGCCTTTATCCATTTTTTGCAGCAATTCCATTTTTTGTTTAATGGACTCCGAAAGATACTTTCGCTTTGTATATCCTTTACATATTAGTAAATATATATCGGAAATTCTATTAGACATAATCGAAAGTTCAAGCTTACTTTTATAAAATTGCTCTAACAGTCTGCAAAAAATAATAATCTGGATCCAATTCGAAGATTAAGGAACAACGCAATCTGCAACATTAACTGAAATAGATAATTAGATAATTTTAGCTTAGCTTATCCCGTCCGTTATACATTAAACGCGCATTCATAAACATGTATTTTGCGCACGCGCACATGCAAATTCGCAGCGGTAAAGGTCTTACGCGCATGCGTCAATGTGACGCATGCGCAGAAAGTTTGTAGCTTTGAGGTCCGAATTATAGATCATTCCAGATTATGGGTGTCCGAATTAACGACTTTTGACTGTAGTTGAGATTTTTGTAAACAGTGTATTTAGTTGTTTAAATATTTTTTTCTTTTTATTTAAGATTGTAAATGTTATATAAATGCAGTTTTTCTGGTGGGTATAAAATTTTTTTGCATAATATAGAGCATCAGAGCATCCATATTTTTATCCACCTTGCAACACTTCTAAGTTTGAACACTGCTTGTAAATAGCATTGCATTTCTCATGCAGAATGTAAACAAACTAATTATGAGATGCATTTTATGTGGCACTTCTTTGCAAATGTTAACCACATAAACTCAATATTAGAAGATGATGGTATTTTACATTCGAAGTAATGATTTTATCTAAACTAAAACTAAAAAAAAAAAAAAAAAAAAAAAAAAAAAAATCCATAAATAATATAAACAGAGAGTTACAGGAAATGTTAGATTTCTTCAATAAGGAAATAAATTAGCTTCTTTAATCAAAATATGTTATATAGTATATTTTGTTAAAAAGTTTTTTTTTTCCCATGTGTGAATGTATTTTAAAATTACCAAAAGCAGTCATTACAATGATTGCTTAAATTTCTAAAAATAAAATTTTTTTTTGTGTACATGCACAGATTAGTGATCTAAAGGGATATCGTTACTATGACTATTTTTATGATATATATAGATAGACAGATGAAAGAATTTTTTGTTCTAGTTTCTCTGCTTTTTTTTTAATGTATAAATTACTTTGAGAATATTAGAAGTTTTGAAAAATGGTTATATTGTTAAACTTTTGTATTTTTATGTTCTATACAAGTTGTTGAGAATTAAAAAACGTGTTTTGAATGTGAATGTTTTGATATTTTGATGTTATTGATCAATATAAATTATAATTTTTAGTGTTTCTGCTGTGAGCGTAACTATTTAAAAATATTGCTGATAAGTAGTTCTTCATGAGAGATTACTGAATGTAGTAAAACAGTTTTTTGTTTTACTGTATAGTCATTAGTGTTTTTTGACTATAATGCATCTGAGATGTAGATTGATGTAAAAAATCAGATTGTCCATCATATCTGCGTGAAACTTAACTGTTTAACTTTGATAGATACTTCTACTGTATTCTAGGAATGCATAATTTCTTAAAGCATTCCTAGAATATAGTAAAGTTTTTTGTAAGTAAGAAGGCTTATTTATATATACCTAGAATTCAGCATAGTCATCCAGCTATATTCGTGCTGACTAGGATTTAATTAAGAAGATTTATTTTTATTCAACAGCCTATAATATTTTGAAATGAGCTTTAGTATGAAAAAGTAAAGATTAGCAGTGAAACGATTTTGTTACAAATTTCCATTGGTTAGTTTTCCAGTTGTTTCAAAGTTTCATTTCCTTGCACATTGCCTACTTGCAAGGTGACATGTTTCCTGAGTGAGTCCCGAATTTATAGCATCTGTCCTGAATTATCCCAAAAAACAATAGCGAAGAACATAAAGTTTAAATGCGTATATTTATTTCAGTAGTGTAGATTCCAGAC